CACAGTCTCCTCCTCCTGTTGTCCGTCACTACCGTTCCCGTCCTTGTCCTCCGAGTGCTCGTCCCTCGTCCCCCGTTACCGACCTCCACACTGCCCTCCTTTGTACCTCTCTTCGTTGTTCTCCTCCTTCGGTGTCAGTTCTCCCGTCTCCTCCTCCGTCTTCTCTTCCTGTCTCCCCTACTCCTATCTCCGACTACTACCGTGATGTTCACCCGGTTGTCTCCCGCGTTCTAGCCACTGGTGTCACCGACCCTCGTTTCTCTCCGTCGTCTGTCTCAGCTCTCACTGCCGCTGTCGCTGACTTCGCCGGCGCCCGCCGCCTTGACTACAGCACTCGTGTGGTGCCCGCTCCGCCTACCCGTCCTCTGTCTGTCGGGGTGAGTTTGCCCTTGGCTGTGACGTCCTAGAGGACAGGCACTCTGAGCTGGAGTACCTAGCAGCCGCTTCTTCCACTCTCTGTGCCATGCTGCTTTCCCCTTAGGGAGATCCCGACGCCCTTGACATACCGACTCCTCGCACGTACCGTGAGGCAGTGTCAGGGCCGTGTGCCTCTCAGTGGAAGACGGCCATGGACTCAGAGTTGGTGAGATCCACAGGCACATACGTCGACGCAGTTCTCCCCCCCCGGGCAAAAGTAGTCGATGGCATGTGGCTCTTCAAGGTGAAGCGGCCGCCTGGATCACCCCCGGTGTTCAAGGCGCGCTATGTGGCGAGAGGCTTCAGTCAGCGCGGGGGAGTTGACTTCTTTTAAACCTTCGCTCCGACCCCGAAAATGACTAGACTTCGGGTGTAAGTACACGTAGCAGCACATTGTGACTACGAGCTCCACTCCCTCGACTTCTCCACTGCCTTTCTCCAGGGACGACTGCACGAGGAGATCTGGCTACGCCGTCCTCCTGGTTTCACTGGTACTTTCTCTCCTAGGACCCAGTGGAGCCTGAGGCGACCAGTCTACGGTCTCCGCCAGTCGCCCCGTGAGTGGCACGACACTCTTCGCTCCACGCTTCGTGACCTAGGGTTTCGCCCTTCCTCTGCTGACCCGTCAGTGTTTGTTCGTGCCGGCTCCACTCCTTTCTTTATACTCGTCTACGTCGACGACTTGGTCTTTGCTACACCAGACAGGGCAGCTCTGGCTGAGGTGAAGTCCGAACTGCAGAAGAGACACTCGTGCACTGACCTTGGTGAACTGCAGCGCTACCTTGGCCTGCAGATCACCAGGGACAGAGCCGCTCGCACCATCACGTTGACGCAGTCACACATGGTACAGCAGGTCCTTCAGCGGTTCGAGCTTCACCGCTGCACGACACAACCCACTCCTCTTGCGGTAAACCGCAGACTCATCGGCCCCTTCCCCGACGAGCCCTTTGAGCCCAGTGGTCCCTACCCAGAGGTTGTTGGCTGCCTCATGTACCTGATCACCTGTACTCGCCCAGACCTCGCCTTCCCTCTTAGTGTCCTCTCTCGCTTTGTTGGACCTGGGAGGCACCGTCCTGTTTACTGGACGGCTGCCGTGAGGGTGGCGAAGTACCTGGCGACTACATCAGGCATGGGGCTTGTGCTTGGAGGGACTCGGCGAGTTGAGCTGACTGGCCTCTGTGACTCTTCTCACGCTGACGACGTGGAGACTTGACCCTGGGTTACTGTTTCATTCTGGGAGCTGGGGCTGTGTCGTGGAGGTCCACACGGTCGTCGTCGGTGGCTTCGTCCAGTGCAGAGGCAGAGATCTACACTGGTGCTATGGCTGCTCAGGAGCTTCGCTGGTTGACCTTCTTGCTCGCTGACCTTGGTGAGCGACCTCGCACTGCTCCGACCTTGTTCGCTGACAACAAGGCCATGACTCTCTTCTGTTGCGAGCCTTGACTGGAGACGAGGGTGAAGCACATCGACGTCCGGTACTTCCTCCTGCGTGAGCTACAGCGGCGCGGCCAGGTGCGCCTGGACTTTGTGGCCTCAGAGACCAACACTGTTGACCTCTTCACCAAGGCCTTGGCGCCTGGTGATCACCACCAGTTCTGTGTGCAGTTAGGGCTTGTTGAGGCAGGTCCTCGGTTGCTGTAGATTTGTTGCTTACTCTGCTTGTTGTGCTTTGCTTTTATATATCCTAGTGAACTCTTGAATTTGTGTGGTGTCCTTAAGATCCACCTTGAGCTTGCTTTGCTTCTTCATTGACTCGTCTTGTTACCGTTTGTTTACCCTGTTTGCTTTCATGCCCCTCACTTAGCCTATTGGGGTGTGTCAAATGTTGATATTTGTGATAGGCTGTAGTGAGGTGCTCCCTAGTGAGTACAAATCAGTTAGGGTTTGCTATATGTATCTCCCACATTCCTAATCTCACCATTCCGTTGCATTTTAACTTTGAGACAACCATACAGGGGGGATGCAACAAGAGGTGAATAGACACTCAAAACCATGTGTAATACAAACCAGCTCGTTGTGGGCTTATCCAAATTGCGAAAGATACGATTCGTTATTCTGTACAAAAAAAAAACAACCAGTGTCAAATTAAAAAACCCATGCAAGAAACTGAACACACATATTAACAACATACTTACTTTACTCCTTTCAGCCAGAACTTCCCAGCTGCTTCTCTGTCGCCAATTGTTCTTCCTTTGCTACGGGTGGGTCAGAATGTGGCTACGTAGCACACTGGAATGGGAATGGGAGGGCGGACAGGAAGAATGCTCAAGCATTGCTCCTTGATGTTCGTTGTTTGTTTCGTTGCTCTCTAGGAACAACATCGTTCAACACATTCATCAATTAAGGACAAGCGTGAAGAGCTTATGGAGGAGGAACGTACCGATCACCTTTCCCTTAACCAAACGCATGCTACGTTGTTTGGAGACGATGGACAGGCCGGTGCTTGGAAAGGACGCAAAAAGAGACGCTAAGGGGGACGTTGGCGTAGTCGCCGTTGGGAGCAATGATGCAGACGCCGCACCAGCCATGAGGACTACTGCACCATCTGCAGGAGACACAAGCGCAACATAAAACAGGTTGTTTCGGCTTTGAGGCAAGCCAATAGAAATTGAGAAAAGCTCTCTACTACGAGAAAATAAAAGGATGCACCTGAAGCTCACATATCAGAACCAAGCCAAACGCAGTTTGATTCATGGTGGAAGGACACGATTCGTACTTGAACGTATACTCCAGATTTAAGAAATGAGGAAAATATGCGGTTGTCTCAACTTCGACGCAGTCAACATGCGAGATTGTAACACCCAAGGCTATTATAGTAGAGATTACAAGCCTGTTATAAGAATCATGGTGCAAGATGGTAGCTCTAGCTAACCCCTCTTAATAGCCTTGGAGATGAGAGTCTTGTTGAAGCCTTTGATGGAAAGCACTTGAAGAAGTTGTGTAGAGAGTTGTGTGAGAGAGCTCTCAACGACTTAGGCAAAACAATCCCATTTCCAATTGATTAGTTGGAGTGGGAGGTGAATAAGGCAAAACAATCTCATTTCCAATTGATTAGTTGGAATGGGAGGTGAAGAATGAGCTTGAAAACTCAAACCCCCTCAATACACTCCTTTGGAAACTCTCCCAACCACGGCTTTCATAGGGGGGGACAGTTCCTACGCTTGGAGTCCATGTGGCAATTGTGTTGGGTTGGAATACCCAACTTAGAACCATTCAATGGTTGTGTTTAGGATAGAATAGATCGTAACAATTGTTCGGCAGTTTGTGATTGGTCGGAAATCCAACCTTCAACGTTCTCTTAGTTGAGTTGGAAAAGTTCCAAGCCTCCAAAGTTGAGGCTTGGCAAACCCAACTCTTACTTTGTCGAGAGAACTCTCGGCATTTGACTAGGGAGAAGTTAGGGCGCGTGCGTTCGGTCAAATTGGCAAAGGTTTACATTTTTAGAGCGAATCTTACTTTTGAACTTATGTCGAGTCGAATTCGAGTTTCCTTTTACCAAAGTTCGCACCTTGACCGAATAACACTGCAAAGATACAATCACACATACAAGGTCGAACTCCGACATTCGACCTTGTACAAAAAAGCTCGAGCCGCGGTCAAAATCGTAGGTTACCCGGTACAAGAAACTTGACGTCGCGACACGTCAACCTGGTGCGCCTCGAGTTACATCCAACTAGACCTCCAACACAGCTGTGCGCTCCGTGTGTTCTGGGGTACAAATTGCCCCCGTGGCACCACAGAATGCATGCCAAACTCTGACAATGACGCTTCTCCAGCTCGTTCGTTTCCTCGGCATAGTATGGCAGGGATACGAACGGTGACACGTGTCCGGCGACACGCGCCCTTGTCGCAGCGTGTGTTCGTCGTGCCATGTAGAGCTTCGCCAATCCATCACCCGTTTCGCCTGGTCGTCGTACGTGCTCAAAACCACACACGCGCGCTTGTACGTGCGCACCCACGTTCACAAGACCAACTCGAGCCACGCTCACTTTCCAAGGGCGAACTTTCATAACTCCGATTTTTGCGACTTTCGTTGGACGGCGTTCACAAAATTAGCGAAAAGGGTAACCACGCGAAGGTCGAACTTATTTTCGAACTTGGGGACGGAACGAACGCGCCCTTAGGTTGCCATGCAGTAGTTAGGGCAATGCGTTACAGAGATAATGATCGCCAATGGATTACTTTGGCCTAACAATCATGCTGTGTATGACTAATCGACCTAAATTGACACGGATGGGAGGGAGGAAATGAGACACTAAGCCTCATGTAGTAGCACTGCCAGTGCTGGGTTTGGGGGGAGGGGACTATAGGAAGGTAGGCGGAGAGAGCTTCAGCGGTCTCATATACGGCACCGCCGCCACCAATATTGCGATCTCCACCACCTCCTAACATTGACAGCATCGTGATGTTGACCCAACTATCTGCACTTGCAAACACACCACCAACATCTTGCAGTCTCCGCCCTTCCCCCTGTGTCGCATCACGCATGGGAGTGAGCACGTCTGTGAGTGAGGAATCTATCTTGCATAATCTTCGCGTGTTATACCGAGTGACCCCTGCACTCCCACTCCCCCACACACCCACTACACCCGCCACCCCACAGCACTGACTGCCTCTCGCTCCTTGGGTCTCATCCCCTCCTCCCTCACCCGCGTCTCCAATGCTCTCCTCTGTGCCTCCATGCATCCAACAAACCCACTCCCCCACACACCCACTACACCCGCCACCCCACCGCATTGACTGCCTCTCGTTCCTTGTGTCTCAACCCCTCCTCTCTCGCTCTCTCCTCCGCTGCTCTCCTCTGTGCCTCCTCCACCTTCCTCTGATTCTCCGCCAACATTTGCTCCAACTCCTCCTGCTCCTTCCGCTTTTGCTCCTGTGGCATTACCCGACATAAGAATGGAATAATGAACGAAAGAAGAAAAACAAACAGAACAAAACGTTGGAAGGGGAGAATGAAACAGACACATCGACCCAACTCCTCGTGTCATTTCCAGTTCTGCTCCTAAGGGTCTCACTCCCTCACTCACTCCCCCCCTCGCTCACTCACTCCCTCACTCTCTACCCCATGCACCTCTTTCCTTCTCGCTTCGGCCAGCAGTGCAAGCTTCTCTCTCTCCAACTGAGCCTGCACCTCCTCCCTCAGCTTCTGCCTGCCCGCTGCCACCATCGCTGCCACCTGCTGCTGCACCCGCTCACATGCCATCTCCCTCACTCCCTCACTTCCTCCCTCGCTCCCTGTCTCACTTCCTCGCTCACTGCCTCAGTCACTCCCTCGCTCAGTCCCTCCTTCCCTCCCTCACTCCCTCCTTCCCTCCCTCCTCTCACTCCCTCATTACCTCCCTGACTCACTCCCTCACTCCCCCACGCACCTCTTTCCTTCGCGCATCGGCCAGCAGCGCAAGCTTCTCTCTCTCCACCTGCCCCTGCACCTCCTCCCTCAGCTTCTGCCTGCCTGCCGCCACCATCGCTGCCACCTGCTGCTGCACCCGCTCACACGCCAGCTCCGCGTCTACCCTCTCCCTTATTGCCGCCTCCACTCTCACTGCCATATCCTCCTCCTCCCTCCTCTCCTCCTCCTCCTGCTCCTTTCTGGACCGGTGGAAAGTGGTACGCATGGTTAGGGATGGGTACGACCGGGAATAGAAAATGGGGAGAAAACTTGAGGCGGTAACATGGCTAAATACGGAGTACAATGAGGAGAGAAACAGAGCTTTAGGCTTCCTTCAACCGTTGCGGCTGTGCTATCCCGTCCACTGTGTTATCTGTGTGCTTTATTGGCCTCCCTCTCTCGTCTCCTCCCTGAATCACCCGCCCCGCCCCCCCCCCCAAATTTCCTCAAAAAATAAAAATGAAGAAAAGAGAGAACATACCGCCTCGTTTCCTCCTCTTCAGCTAGCCTCCTCCACCTCTCCCTCGCCTTTTGCCTCTCCCGTTCCCTCTCCCTCTCCGCCTCTTCCTCCTCCTCCGTCGCCCTATCCTCCTCCCGCTCCGCCCTCCTCCGCTCCCTCTCCTTCTTCTCCTTCTCCTTATCCTTCACCCCCTCCTTCTTATCCCTCTTCTCCCTCTTCTCTTTACCCTCCTTTACGTCTCTCCCCTCTCTCCGTCTCTCTCCGCGGCCTTTCTCAGCGGCATTGGAGGGTGAGGGGGAGCGAGAGCTGGAGGAGAGAGAGGAGCGGGAAGAGGAGCGACTGTGGCTGTGCCTGGAGGGCATGGGACGAGGGTAGGAAGTCGTGTGGTGAAATGGGGGAGTGAGGAGGTGAATAAGAGGAGTAACGAGGTGAGTATGAAGGATTATGAAGTGAGATTTGTGAGGAAACCTCAGAAGCGATACGCACTAATTACCAACAATAAGAACATATATCAAAATTGATCACCTGCGGTCTGTACTAATCACCTGCGCGTAGCAGTGATTACCTGCGCGCGAAAGTAATCACCTGCGCGCGGAAGTATCACCTGCGCACGAACGTAATCACCTGCGCGCGGAACTAAGCACCTGCGCGCGGGAGACGGACTGCGCTCGTCCCTCCGGCTGCGCCGCGCTGATGATCGCGGGGGTGTTAAGGATCGCGACCGGGACCGCCGGGTTGCGGGAATTCCGGTAGGGGAGCGTGATTTTCGGCGAGGAGAGGCGGAGCGCGATTTCCGGCGCCTGCTAGGGGGCGACCTCGAGACTGATCGCGCCATTGATAGATACCAACGAAACGCACCTTTTCCTAGTTCTTACGGCACGGACTTCCTCCAGACACTTCTAATTGTTTGTCACCTCACCACAAAGCGACGACGTGGTGTGATTAGGAACGTGTCATTTTTTTCCGTTCGAGCTGGTTCGATGTCTACAAAATCGTTGCCGACCTGATGCGCATTGGTGCGCGTGCGGGAGTGAGTGGCGTGGGGGAGTGAGTGGATGAATGTCCCAGGCCACGCAGGATGCGGTAGTTTGTGCGAAGAATTGCCTAGTGCTGAAACACAAGAATGAAATACTGAAGTGCTGAAGTGCTCAAGTGCTGTACAACCATCCCTTTCTAAAACAAATCAATACTACAAAGCATTCCCTGAATTCTGGAAAGTACGGCAGCCAACATATAAAGCATTGCGAGTTCAAACGGCCATACCATTGCAGTCTCAAACTGGTAAAATTACATGAAGCTTCAAGAAGTACCAGAGTTTCTGAATCGAGTATCAACGGAACACCACAACCTCGTTGTTCGCACCATACCTATCCCAAGCCCCTCCAAACGCCCAATTCTGAAACCCGCCATCGCCTGTGTTCACTACGTTGAACGCACCCTGCTTGTAATACACCGCAAAAACCGAGTCACCCCAGAAATGTGCCACGCGGACCTCAGCATAAGACGGGTCACCCTCCACCACGCGAGAGCTCTTGATCACCATCACGTTGTAACCCGCGTTCATGAAGATATCGACCACCTTCGTCGTCACTTCGCCGTCGTCATCCACACCCTCGATTGTGCCCAGGCTCCCTGCGATAATCTGATCGACGGTCACGCCGTCCCAGCTGAACAGCTTCCGCTCGACCCTGTGCGGAGATCCCAAAGCCGAGCCAGAGCCGAACGTATTTCCGGGCCGCGCTGCGCTGGCGCTGGTGACGGCGAGGAGCACGAGGAGGGAGAGAGGCAGCAGCTTGCGCGCTGCGGGGAGCCACGAGTTAATCGCCATTCTCTAGATCGTCGCAGTCAGTGCCACACGAATGATACCAACCCCGCTGATAGTGCAGCTATGGAAACGGCGAGGAAAACGATGTTGTGAAAGGGCTGATATGGCGAAAGGCATCTTGAACGCCTAATATATAAGCCTTTCGTTCTCAAACCTAGAGCTGGACGCAGCTCATTATCTGCTCGAGAAGCCATAGCCAGAAGCATGCGTTTCAGCCCAGTCGTGAACGATACGTGTGGTTGATTAGCGCTATGGCAGGTCCGAAGTTCGAGAGTGGAAAGCGTATTAGATAACGGAAATAAAGATGGGTCTGTCAGAGGTCCACTGGTGATCCCCGATTGATCCTAGGGAAGGGTTACAAACATGTTGGCCTGGGGGGTTATGGGCGCACTGACCCGCTACTTAACAAGCCCTTTTATCCCAATGGTCTAGTGGTTGGGATTCTGACATGGTATCAGAGCGAAGGTCTCGGGTTCGAATCCCAGTGTGTGCACTTCGGGCATCCCAGTGCGGGGGGGTGTCAGAGGTCCACTGGTGATCCCCGATTGATCATAGGGAAGGGTTACAGGCATGTTGGCCTGGGGGGTTATGGGCGCACTGACCCGCTACTTAACAAGCCTCTTTATCCCAATGGTCTAGTGGTTGGGATTCTGACAGGGTCCGAATTCAGCAGCCGACGGCGAGGTGAGGGGAAGGGGAGGGAGGCAGGGCATTTTTTTTTGGATTTTCACTACTCGGATTTCCAGAGCTGTTTTCAAGGGAACTCTGAAATTCAGGGTTCATTATGAGCGTTACTCTGATTTATCAGAGAAAACTTAACTTCTGAAAAATATACTCTGGGCAATCAAAGTTCCTATTTTTCCAACTCTGAGTGTCCTCTCAAGTATTGAACCCAGGCCTTTTGCACTCCTACCAAAATTATAATCGTTATGCTACGCGCTTATTATATAGCATGCCGACTAAATTTATATAACTGTACCTAGTCTACAAACTATCTCCCACCAATTGAAGGCGTGGGGGGCTCGGTCGAAATGCCCTCCCTGTACAGAGAAAAATACATTCGCCAAAAATATACACTGGTCTCTCAGAGTTGCTAAAATCAGAACCCTGACAAATCAGAGAAAACGTATCTTCCAAAAAAAATACCCTGACACATCAGAGTGACCCCCTAAAAACCACTATGATTTTCAGAGAAACAGAGTAATTTACTCTGATAAAAAAACCCCTGGACAGAGATCAGAAAGAAATATGATGGAGCACCCTGCGAGGTTTGACGAGATCTTTGTGCCTCATGTAACATAAGATGTAAAAATTTGAAATACAATTTTCAAAATTTAAAGATTATGACAAGACTTGTAAAGGATTATGCAGTAAGGAGTCATCTGCTCCTTATCTCGTGGCAGGTCCACAGACCTGCCACGTAGTCGAATCATTTCTAGATCTGAATCTAGAACAGCACACCTAGCGAACTTTTCCACCCTCCTAGACTAACTCGCCCGCCATTGCTGCTACCTCGTACATGACGAGAACTTCGTACATGCTGCTTCTACGAATGAAGCGATATCTGCTGGAAGTTTCTGCTATTGCAAGTACAAAAATCGTTTTTTGTATGGCAAAATCATAATATACACTGCTGATACATCTACGTGCAACATACTGCGCGGAACATATTGCCGCTGCTTCTACCAGTGGCGATCTTCCTCGATACTGCTGCATAGGAGGTGTTCGTTTCGGCGGCTGCGGTCGTTGCGACCTCTTGGAGCTGGCGATGCTGCTGCAGCGACTACGACTGCTGCTGCTGCCGGGACGGTTGCTGCTGCTATGAGACGAGCCGCTGCTGCTTACGCTGCGCATGGCGAGACAACGGCTGCTGCTGTTGCGGTTGGAACAAACTCACGGTGGCATGTGGCAAGACCGCTGCAGCTGCGGGTGTCCTATCGCTACTGCTATCCTGTTATCTGCTGCTGATGCATGATCGCTACTGCTGCTGCGCACGAATCTTGCTGGAGCTGCGAGATCGCCGCCGCTGCTGCTGCTGCTGCTGCTGCTGTGCGATCAATGTTGCCGCTGCTGTGCGCTGTTGCTGCTACTGTGCGATTGCTGCTGCTGCTACTTCGCGATCGCTGCTGCTGTGCGATCGCCGCTGCTGTGCGATCGCTGCTGCTGCTGCTGCCGCGCAATCGCTGCTGCTCCTGCTTCGCGATCGCTGCTGCTGTGCGATCGCCACTGCTGTGCGATCGCTGCTGCTGCGGCTGCCGCACGATCGCTGTTCCTGTGCGGTCGCTTCTGCTGCTGCGCGATCGCTTCTGCTACGGCTGCCCGATCGCCGCTGCTACTTCGCGTTCGCTGCAGCTACTCCGTGATTGCTGCTGCTGGGCACGATCTGCGCTGCTGGCGCGCGATCGCCTTTGCTGGCCTGCGATCGCCATTGCTGGTGCACGATCGCCGCTGCTAGCGTGCGGTCGCTGCTGCTGCCTCAATAGCGCATCTGCTGTGGCGTGATTTGCTGGTGCTATCGAGATCGAGATGGTGCTGCTCTGCCTGGCGACACAGCAGCTACCACAGCTATGAGGGACGAGAAGTTGCCCTCGCTGCTATGTGCAAACTGAAATTGCAGTTACTGGTGTAACTCTTGATTTGGTGTTAAAAGATTGTGGTGGCCTATAAGATTATGGCCTTTAAAAAAGAAAAAAAAAGACAAGGCCCAAAGAAGATTATGATTCAGTGTAAGGGCCAGAGCATGACACTTGCAGTATTGTGTCGTGCAGCATAAGAGATCGTCCGCGTGCATCATTATGTCTGAATTAATATGCGGTATGCCGGATTTGTACGCCTCATAATAATTAGTAACGCGTTCTTCCCCTTTTATGTTGAGCCTAAGTACTATGCGGAAGCGATTAACTCAGTGCCACAAACATAAACTAGGCAACACTTAACATCACTTGTGAACCAAGTGAGTAGTTATGCCAAGCTTAGCTTGTAGAGTGAGTGTTCTGGTTGAGCAGAGTGTGTCAGACTTATATGCTATAGTCTGTGTAGGCTGTAGTGGGGTAGACAATATGGGGTACAACACTTTTAGGTCATCCTACTTGTACCCACCTGTTTCCTAGTGCATTCACTCCTTGTTCTTTCACATGGTATAGAGCAGGTTCCCTAGTGGGAACGTTTCCTAGGGCCCACCGAAAATTCGAAAGTTTCTTTTTTCCTGCCCGGAGCGCACTTCACCCCTGCCCGAGTCGCGCCCCGCGTCCCCCGCCCTTAGTGGCCCCTTAGCCGCTCCCTCGCGGCCCCTCTCACGGCCCCTCGCGGCCCCTTAGCCGCTCCCTCGCGGCCCCACTCACGGCCCCTCGCGGCCCCTCTATCACGGCCCCTCGCGGCCCCTTAGCCGCTCCCTCGCGGCCCCTCTCACGGCCCCTCGCGGCCCCTTAGCCGCCCCCTCCGCGGCCGTTCGCGGCCCCTCGTGGCCCCTCTCACGGCCCCTCGCGGCCCCTTAGCCGCTCCCTCGCGCCCCCCCCCTCTCACGGCCCCTCGTGGCCCCTCTCAAGGCCCCTCGCGGCCCCTTAGCCGCCCCCTCCGCGGCCGTTCGCGGCCCCTCGCGGCCCCTCTCGCGGCCCCTCTGCGGCCGTTCGCGGCCCCTCGCGGCCCCTCTCGCGGCCCCCCCCTCGCGGCCCCTCGTGGCTCGTCGCGCGGCCCCTCCGCGGCCGTTCGCGGCCCCTCGCGGCCACTCTCCCGGCCCCTCGCGGCCCTGTCGCGGCCCCTCGCGGCCCCTCTTGGCTCGCCGCGGCTCGTCGCGGCCCCTCCGCGGCCCCTCTCCAGGCCCCTCGTGGCCCCGTCGCGGCTCCCTCGCGGCCCCGTTGCGGCTCCCGCGTCGCCCCTGCCCGCCGCGACGCCCTGCCCTAACCCGCGCCCTGGAGCAGCCGCCACTTCAGCCCTGCAGCAGCCGCCCCCTGCAGCAGCCGCGCCGCCCCCTGACCGCCGCGGCGCCCTGCCCTAACCCGCGCCCTGCAGCAGCCGCCCCCTGGAGCAGCTGCCACTGCAGCAGCCGCCCCTGGAGCAGCCGCCACTGCCACAGCCGCCCCTGGAGCAGCCGCCACCTGCAGCAGCCGCCCCTGGAGCAGCCGCCACTGCAGCAGCCGCCCCTGGAGCAGCCGCCACTGCAGCAGCCGCCCCTGGAGCAGCCGCCCCTGCAGCAGCCGCCCCTGGAGCAGCCGCCACTGCAGCAGCCGCCCCTGGAGCAGTCGCCACTGCAGCAGCCGCCCCTGGAGCAGCCGCCCCTGCAGCAGCCGCCCCTGGGGCAGCCGCCACTGCAGCAGCCGCCCCTGGAGCAGCCGCCACTGCAGCAGCCGCCCCTGGAGCAGCCGCCACTGCAGCAGCCGCCCCTGGAGCAGCCGCCCCTGCAGCAGCCGCCCATGGAGCAGCCGCCACTCAGCAGCCGCCCCTGGAGCAGCCGCCACTGCAGCAGCCGCCCCTGGAGCAGCCGCCCCTGCAGGAGCCGCCCTTGGAGCAGCCGCCCCTGCAGCAGCCGCGGAGCCCTCGCCCTGCAGTGGTAGCGGCCTCGCCGTTGCCGCCGTCGTACGCCTGCCCTTTCTCGCCACTGGTGAGCACTGCCCTGCCCGTACTGCTGTTACTGCTGCTCTTGCTGCTACTGCTCTTTCTACTGCTACTGCTGCTTCTGGCGTGGCCAGATGCAACTCCAGCGCCGTCCGCGTGAGTCCCTCACCCCCCAACAGCTTCGTGAGTGGTACGCTAGTTGGGGTTGTAGGGGTGGCCGCGCTACGACTACTGCTACTGCTTCTACTGCTGCTACTGTGGCTACCACTGCTCCTCCTGCTCCTGGCGGTGGCCAGATGCAGCTCCAGCGACGTCCGCGTGAGTCCCTCACGCCCCAGCAGCTTCGTGAGTGGTACGCTACTTGGGGTTGTCGGGGTGGCCGTAGTGGGAGTCGTTCTGGCGTGAGGAGTTCGGGAGCTACTTGTAGTGGCCAGGTGCAGCTGCAGCGTAGT